ATAAACATTAATAAAATATAAAATAGATATATAATAAATATAAAATGTAAATATAAAATAATATTAAAATAAAATCCTAAATAAAATTAACAAACCCTTGGCTGACCTTATCAAAAAAAGGAAAGAAAATCCATGCAATTAGGAATGAAAAGGGTGAAATCACAACAGACCCTGCAGAAATTCAGATCATCAATACCTGTTTTGAGAACCTGCACTATAATAAAATAGAAAACAAGAAATGGACAGATTCCTAGACACATATGAGGGCTGGGGATTTGGCTCAGTGGTGTCGCTGCCTGCCTCTCAAGCACAAAGTCCCGAGTTCGATCCCTGGTAACAAAAAAAAAACAAAAAACAAACAAACAACAACAACAAAAAAACCCTAGACACATATGAATTACCAAAGTTGAATCAAAAAGATATAAAAATTGTAAACATTCCAGTATCAGTCAATGAAATTCAAGAAGTAGTAAAAAACCTACTAGAAAAGTCCAGGCCTTGGCGGATTCAGCATTAAATGCTACAAGAACTTTAAAGGAGATCTAATGCCACTATTCCTCAAACTCAAATACACCATATTAACAGAACCAAGGCCAAAAACCATATGATCATCTTAATAGATGCAGGGAAAGCATTTGACAAAGTCCAACACACATTCATGATAAAAACCTAATGGAAAATTGGAACAGATGGTCTTTATCTCAATTTGATAAAAGACCAACAGCCAAAATCATATTAAATGGTCAAAACCTGAAAGCTTTCACTCTGAAGTCAGGAATAAGACAAAGATGACCATTATCATCATTCCTATTCAATATAGTTCTGAAATTGGCCAGAGCAATTAAACAACATAATAAAAGGAATAAGGATAGGAAAGAAAAATGTTAAATTATCATTATTTGCTGATGACATGATACTCTACATAGAAGAATCCAAAAACTCCATCAAAAGAATTCTAGATTTAACAACCAAATTCAGTAGCATAGGTGGATACAAAGTCATCACTCAAAAATCAATAGTATTCCTCTACACAAACAACAAACTCACTGAGAGGAAAATAGGAAAACTATACCTTTCACATTAGCATCAAAAAAATGAAATACTTAGGAATCAATCTAATTAAGGAAGTAATACATTGAAAACAATAGTACTCTTAAAAAAGAGATCAAAGAAGCTATCAGAAAAAGAAAAGGTATCCCTCGTTGTTGGGTAGGAAAAAGCAATATACTGAAAATGGCCATACTTTCAAAATTTTTATATAGATTTAATGCAATCCCAATCAAAGACCAATACCATACCTCAAGGAATTAGAGAAAACAATTCTAAAATTCATTGAGAACCAGAAGAGACTTAGAATAGCAAAAGCTATTCTGGGTAAAAAGGGAAAATCAGGAGAGATAATAATCCCTGACTTGAAATTATACTGCAAAGCCTTTGTGATAAAAGCAGCATGGCACTGGAAAAAAAAAAAAAACAGAATAGAAGATGGAGAAACAACTCCAAACATATTCAGCCACCTTATATTTGACATAGGAGCCAAATGCATTCACTGGAAAAAGGCCTCTTTAATAAATGGTGCTGGAAAAACTGGCTTTCCACATGCTGAATATTAAACCTAGACCCATATTTTTCACCATGCACTAAACTAAACTCAAAATTGATCAAAGATCTAAATATTAAAACAGAAACACTACATTTGTTGGAAGATAAAATAGGTAGGACTCTCAAAGACACTGGTGTAAGCAAAGACTTTATGAACAAAACCCCAAGTGCACGGGAAATATCACAAAGAACTGACAACTGGGATCTCATCTTATTAAAAAGCTTTTGCAAAGCAAAAGAAACCATCAACAGAGTGAAAAGGCAACTCATAGTGTGAGAAAAATATTTTGCCAGCTGTTCCTCAAAGGACTAATATCTATACAAAGAACTAAAAAAAATAAGACCTCCCACATTTTAAAGACCCAATTCAAAAATGGGCATCTGAAATGGGCATCTGACACCTCCCCAATGAAGAAGTAGAAATGAAAAGTGAATATATGAAATATGTTCAGGCCGGGGATTTAGCTAAGTGGTTCTGCCACCTGCCTTGCAAGCCACAAGGTCCCAAGTTTGATCTCCGGTACCAAAAAAAACAAAAAAAGTTCAACATCATTGGTCATTGCAAATTAAAACAACACTGAGATTCTATCTCAATCGAGAAAGAACAGTTGTTATCAAGAAATCAACCAACAACAAATAGTGGCAGCACTGTGTGGAAAAAGGGACCCTTCTCCACTGTTGGTGGGAGTGTAGACTGGTACAACCAATGTGGAAATCCATGTGGAGATTCCTCAAAAAATTAAAACTAGAGGTTCCATTAAACCCAGCAATTTCCCTCTTGTTATCCTCCTGAAAGAATTAAAAGATACCACAGCAATATATGGACACCTATGTGTATAGCGGCACAATTTGTAATAGCAAAATCATAGGAAACAGCCCAAGTGTCCATCAATCAATGAATGGATAAAAATGGAGTTTTTATATACAATGAATTATTATTCTGCAATAAAGAAGGATAAATTTGAGACATTTATAGGTAAATGGATGCACCCTGAGACCATACTCTTAAATGAAATAAATCAGATACACATGTTTAAATACTGCATTGTTTCTCTGGTTTGAGAAACCAAAACCGGAAATAAGGACCAAAGTATACATAGATATTCGAAAATGAGAAGAAATATTCAAATGAGAATAAAAGAGGGGGAAGAGGGAAGAAAAAACAGACAAGAACAAAAAAGAATAGAAGAAAAAAATGGAAACAAAGCTTTTGTAAATAAGGGAGGATGGAAGGGGAGGGGATTGGGAAAAATAAAGAAAAGATTTATCATGTACAGTACAAATTCCCTATGATGAATGCTATCATTATATATATGTATTATATATATACACACATACATATATATTATACATATATATGTATAATATATATAATATATATGTATAATACACACACACACACACACACATATATACATATAATGTGCCAATAAAAATTTTAACCCCCCAAAAAGTCATCACAAAACGAAAAAGAAGAACAAAATAGAGATTGTTTGGTAGCTTAAGGAATAGGTAAAAGTTTTAAGACTTTTTTAAAGATAGTGGAAGTCGTATTCATGTTTATTAGCTTAACAATAAAAAATTGATTGCTGAGTTTTTAATCAAGAACATCAAAAATTGAGGGCTGGGGATGTAGTTTGGTGGCAGGACCTAGCTTACACGAGTCCTTGAATTCAATTCCCAGCAAAGTGGGTGAGCACCACACAACAGGACATCAAAAGACACAGAAGGACTCCTGTTCTATTGAAACAGTAAAATAAAGGCAAGTATAAACACTATTATTATAGTAATCTATTTAGTCATTTCTTCAATATTATTGAAAATATAAAAATTGCAAAGCCCTGTATTCAGATAAAGAGAAATCGAAAATAACACATAATTCTAGACTTTGAAGAGCCTGCACTACTGCATAATCAAAGGCATAGGCTGAAATAACTAATGTAAAAACAAAATGCTATGTGAATACTTATATACAGTAAACTCACATTTGTAAGGGGAATGCTGTATAAGATTTTCCACCAATGGAAAAGGATGAAAAGAAATACAGGAAATAAAGTTAACAAATTCACAGAGGTTTGATACTGAAATTGTTCTAAACTGCTGCACAGAGATTAAGTGATAAGGTTTCAAAGCCATGAAAAATAGACACAGATTTGAACTCTGGACATTCTCCTTTTTCACTATGTGATTCTAAATAAATAACCTTTCTAAAAATGAAAATAATTAGTACTGCATACAACATTGTTGTAAAGATAAAATCTGATGTAAGTAGAGTACTAAGCACAGTGCCTACCATATAAAAAGGGAAAAAAATTAGTATTTGTTATGTTAAAATATTAGTCAATTCACTTTGTAAGTTGCAAAATGGTACACAGATATGTCATTTTTCTGAAACAGTAACTTTAAAGCTACATTAAATATATTAGCATTTCAATATATGAGATAATGTTTCTCAACTAGCTATGAAATATTTAAAAGTATTTTTAGTCTTAAAAGTGCATGTACATTCCTACATGTTTGACATTTAACTAAAGGAATGTGCTAAATATTCTGGAAAAGTTAACAGGGAAAAACTGTATTTTTTATTTCTAGTTGCCCTGATTTATCAAATGATTTCTAAGATGGCACATTTATAAAAATGCAAAGTTGCACCTAAACACTATAATCATTTTATCTATAATGCCAAAAAACCTACTTTTTCTTCTCTTTCTATTTCAAGTTGCTTCTTAATAGACAGAAGTTCAATTCTGAGATCAGATAGTTCAAACTCCTAAAGAAAAAGAAACATGAAGTTTTTAAGTGCTCCCTTATATTTCTCAAAACTATGAAAATAGTTTTTCAAGTAAATTCAGCTCCATAGAGAAATTTACTAATGAAATACCCCTAAAAGTCCACACATAAGAAGATTATAACTAGATTTCACTTTAAACAAATTTTTAGTTTTTTCAAACAAAGATTCAACACTAAATTTATTTGTTCTCATTCTCTCCTTATCTCACTCTCCTTTCCCAGTCAGAGCTTGAAATTTACCCGTTAACTGGACCTTATAACATCTCATTTGAAAAGAGAGTTTGTTCTACTATTTCAAAAATAAACTAGAAAACCACCGAACAAGATTTGTAAGAATTCTTTCAGATTAGACCATGTTTTCTATAGTTTAAAAATTATCACTTTAGAGCCGGGGATTTAGCTCAGTGGTTCCATGCTTGCCTCACAAGCAAAAGGTCCTGAGTTCAATCCCCATACTGAAAGAAAAAAATTATCATTTTACACATTATTTTTTACTACCAAGTATATTAACATTTTAAAAACTGGCTTTTAATATTCTGTATCTCACCAAAGATGCTCTCGCAGATGACTGTTCTTGTTCTTTGCTCTTATAAAGTCCTAATTCTGAGTCTCTTTCTTCAACAATCTTATCATATTGGAGCTATGTTAAACAAAGATATATTAAAACTAAATAATTATGTTTTATAACATTAGTATCCTATCACATATAATATTTGAGGAAAATGATGTTCATTAGAGTTCATGTATAGTTTTTTCAATTGTATTTTTTCATTCCAATATCCTAAAACTTATTTAACAGTAAGAAAAAGTTATTCAATAGTCTTGAAAAAAAATCTAACATAAGAGTAAGAAGTAACTCTACACTGGAAACACTGAATTCATCATTTAAAAAATACAGCAGAAACACCAGGACTTAGGAAAATGGCCAACTCCACATCTGGGACAGAAAATACAAAAGGAACCTTGAAAATTCTGTCATGACAAAAGTAAGCTACCAGGAACTATTAGAATCAAGTCAAAAGGAATTACCAGCCTTTACAAGGCTCCTACTGGCCAAAGGTGAGACAATTTGAGTATTAATATGAATAAAAGCTTCACTACATTGAAACATAACAAATTTAAATCTATGTTCATAATGAAATTTATTTTTTAAATTTTCACTGGTTACATCATCATGTTAGATTCCAACAAGTTTTAAAAATGAAAAGGTAGGTATAGCCTATTCCCTCTCCAAATTATGAGGAGACTGAGGAATACTTTCCTAATAGAAGTATTACTGTAAAATAGATGACACAAATACAACAAACAGTAAGACTTTCATTTAATTCTTTGTTAAAAATTATTTAGCCTAGGGCCGGGGATTTAGCTCAGTGGTACCGCTGCCTGCCCCACAAATGCAAGGACCCAAATTCAATCCCCAGTACCAAAAAAAAAAAAAAAAAAATTATTTAGCCTAGTAAGCATTAGATACATGTATAGGATACAAATATTAATGTAGGATATGCTGTATTTTCTGGATATGTATTTAAATAAAAGATAGAAAGTGCTGTAAAACTACTAGAAGAACAGATGATAAGGAGAGATTTATTCTAGGAAATGATATGCCAGCCCAGCTTTGTATGGCTAAGATCTGAACTTAGAAAAGTGGAAGATCAAAAGTATTCCAGCTCTAATTAGTCACTCGTACAGACAATAATTTTTTCTGACAAATCAGAAGACTATCAGAGGGTCACTATTTTGTACACAGAAGTAAGACTTCAATTAATAATTTTTTTCTAATCCCTTTGTTTCCCTCCCCAACCCCTCCTCCTCTAGTGTGAATTGCAAACATGTACTAATAAAAATTTTAAAAACAAAAAATTAGTAATTTTATTGTATGAAAAAGTTACCTTATGCTTTTCCATAAGTGCTACCATTTCAGCTATTTTATGGTGACATCGCGTATCACTTTCTTTCTGTAATTTTACTGCTTCATCAGCTGTTAATTTTGCCTTCTCAACCTATCAAACAAATAATATTTAAAATGCACAAAATACATATAACTTAAATGTAAAAAGCAAATCTTATGTCCTACTTATATAAATATGGAAAATTCAAACACTTGGAAATTAGAAAAACAAGTAGAAAATACATCACCGTTATGGCTTGTATTCATATGCTCATAGGTGGGGCTTTTCAGGGGTGGCTGGATCTAGGGTGTGTGAATGTGGATAAGGGTGTGTGAATATGGATTAAGGATATGATAACTAAATTAATCCACAGATTGGTTCAGCATAGTTACAGGTGCAGACTATGAGAAGACATACCCTGACTGTGGGTGGCTTATAGCCTGAATGGAATAAAAGGAAAAGGGAGGCTTGCTGCTGCTGCCTGCTGCTCACTACCTTCTGTCTGGTAAGCCATGCACTGTTTCTCCTCCTTTGCCATACAACCATGCCTAGGAGCCACTCAACTATGGACTGAAATCTCTTTAACCTGTTGAGCTAAACTGAACCTTTTCTCCTTTAATTTGTGGGTGACAAAAAAAGTAACTAACACAATCACAGTTTTGGCTTATTTTTGCTGTTTTATTAAGTGAAATGACAGTATAACACTGTGATAATCTTTTAAAAACTCACTCAATACTCAAACATTTATAATAATAGGGATAATAGATAATTGTTCCTAATATAAATTTATTAAATCTTTCTAAAAATCATAATTTAAAATTTAAGAATCTTTATTTTTTCTTTAAATGCTAATGAATATAGAATTTTAGCACAAGTTTTAAACAATTTGTTTTTCTCACCTGTCCCAAAAGATTTTCTTCTGATAACTTTTTGTCCTCAATCTCTTTTTGATAGCTGTGGGTCATTTCTTCATATTTTTGTTTGGCACTTTCTAGTTCTAATTCTAATTTACTGACCTTTAAAGAAAATAGCATGAATATCAGTAAGTAATGTGGATTAAAGCAAAATATTCCATATTCATTTGATGGTTTTTGTTAAATGTTAAAATATTACTTATTCATTAAAATTGTAGTTTGATAATTTTCCTTACATTTTTCACATGACAAGATGCACTTCATTTTTCATATTTTGTCCTCTAAAATACATATTTAGTATTGACAATATAAAACAAACAGCCATAAATTCATTTTAATGCATTGCTCAGTATTTAAATTGGTTAGTTTCAGTTCTCTATGTTTTAGTATAAGTAACTGTTCCAGTTGGGTAGAAAAATCTATACATTCAAAAACAAAGCAAATTAATGAGCTCAGTTTTCTACAAAGAAACACCTTCAATTCCTGTGGTTTTCATATAATTTGTATAAATAATTACAAAGCTATGAGTCAAAGGTAACAGTTACCAAGAGAAGAGTGCCCTGAATTAGCATCTGTCCTCCAGCTTCATTTTTACCTTAGGGATGAATTAGAATTGGGAGGAGTGTTATCTAGCAGGGACAGGAACTGAGGGAGGCATGGGTAACTTAACAATGAATCAGACTGTATTCTATGTCCATTAATGAACCACTACCTATATCTATGAATTAACCAATATTGCTAAAGGCTTCTGAGTATCCTCTTTTGTTAGTTTTTCCCTACTGCCCCTTCAACTGTAACAAATGCTCATAATATTTATAAATATTCTTTATTCTTATTCTTTATAGTTTTATTGAATAATTATGTATCCCTAAGCAATGTTTATTTTTGAACTTTAATTTTCACAGTATATATACTTGTCTTTTTTTTCATTCAACAGAGTTCATTTTCCTTGGTTAATAGTTTCCTTGTATGCATATGCCACATCTTTCAAACTCTCATGGCATAACTTATCAAACTTTTTAATGAATATTTGCCAGTATCTTTAAGAAATCTTGCTAAGCTTATGAACTTACTCCCCTGATGTTTTCTTCTAAGGGAGTTTAAATTCACTGTTGTTATGATTTGATAGAAGTCAAATGCTTTTCTGCAACTATTGAGGTCATTTTGATGATTTTCTCCTGTATTACTTGATAATTTACACCAATATTTTCAAATTTTAAAATGACTTTACAATGCTAAGGTAAATCCCACCTATTTAATATAATGTATTATTGAAATATTTACTAAAATTTTAGTAAGGATTTTATATCCATATTCACAGGGATACTGTTCTGTAATTTTCTTGCAGTATCTTTGTTGATATTTGGCAACAAAAAAAATTACTTGGAAATTGTTCTCATTCTTTTGTTTTCTGGGATTTTTTTATCCACTAAGTTTATTGGTACATTTAAGGTAAACAATAAAATTACATTCATCACTGGAATCTTGTACCTTCATTCTGTTTTTTGAAAGAGTGGTATTATTTCTTCCTTAAGCAACTGGCAGAATTCACCAGTGAAACCATCCAAATCATCCAGATCTAAATTTTTTATTTTCTATTCTTTTCTTTTTCCTTTTGGTGATCCTGGGGATTGAACCCAGAGTTTTCCCAATGAGCTCCATTCCCAGGCATTTTTATTTTTAAATAGGGTCTCACTAAATGACTTACGTTGCCCAGACTGGATATGAATATGAGATTCTCGAATCTAAGCCTCCCAGACTGCTGGGATTACAGGCATGCATCACCACATCCAGTTCTAAATCTAAATTTTTTAGATCTAAAATTTTTTATGAAAATTTTCATAAATAGATAAATAAGAAATCTGCCTCTAAATTTCAAATTAATTAGCATGAAGTCATCTGTGGCATTCCCTTGTTATCCTTCTAATAGTTATAATATCTACACTGAGAAGTCCTCTTCCCCCCACTCTTTCTGGTATGAGTTAATTTATATTATGAAAGAATAAATTTTTGCTTCTTTTTCTGTCTCCCATTTTTTTATCTCTCTTACCTTTATTATTTCTTTTTGTCTATTTTCTGTGGATTTAATTGCTCCCTTTTTAAAGTTTCTAGCTGGAAACCTAGATCATATATTTTCTAAAATAAATATTTAAACCTATAAATTTCCTTCTAAGAATTACTTTAGCTGCATCACACAAATATTATTTTATTTTTATCATTCATTTTAAAATAATTTCTGATTTTCTTTGTGATTTCGTCTTTGTCCTATGAATCATTATCTAGTATAATATCTCTTCTTGGCCTTTTGGCTAAGATCAAGTGTAATGTTTCATTTCCAAATAATGAGGCCTTTTTAGATATTGTATGCTCTCTTATTTCTGATTCACTCTATTATAATAAGAGAACATACTTTGTAAGACTACAGTCTTTTGAATTGTATGGGGATTTGTTTTATATACTTGCCTTTATTCTATCTTGTTAAACAGTCTATGTATATTCTCACAGAATTTATAGATTCCAGTTTAGAGTTCTAAAGGTGTGACTTAGGCCAATGTAGTTGAAAGTGTTCAATTTTCTATATTCTTAAAGTTTTTACTTGTTGAAAGGATTTTATAATCTCCAACTATTATGGATTTGTCTATTTCTCATTTTAGTTCTTTTTTGGTTTTGCCTCATGTATTTTGAAGTCCTGTTACTATTGTATTATAAACATATTCATAATTAGTATATCTTTCTGATTAGCATCTTTCTTTATCTTTGATAATATTCCTTATGCCTGAATCTATTTTTGTGTTATAAAAATAGTCCACCTTTCCTATGCTTATTGTTGGCATTGCTACATGATTTACCTTTCAATTTTTTACTTTCAAACTCTTTTGTCTTTTTATTAAATAAAGTATGTCTCTTATACACAGCATATAATTTGGCCCTGATCTTTTTTATTCAGACCAACAATCTCTGCTCTTTATTACTATATTACTTCACCGATACATGATATACACATGTGCTTCCGAAATATCAGGGGTTTGGTTCCAGATCACCACAATAAAACAAGTATTAAGAGACAATTCCACTGAATTTTTGGCTTCCCAGTACATATATGAAAGGTAAGCTAATACCACATTATTTAACTTGCAATAGCATTATGTCTAAAAGAACAACATACAGACCTTGTTAAAACCTGTCTTGTGGAAAAAATGCTAATGGCTATATGAATGAATGGGAAATAGTACCAAAAGAGTTGTTCAACATAGATTTACCAAAAACTTTCCTGGTGTCTGGGAGACACAATAAAGTAAAGCATGATAAAAGCAAGGTATGCTGGTAGCTGTTGATATGGCTGAGTTCAGACCTATCACTTTGCCATTTGTCTTCTATTTACATATCTTTTTTGCTCCTCCTTGGGAGTTTATCAAACATTTTTCATATCTACTTTAATATTTCTACTGCTTTTTTTGCTACTCTATGGACTGAATGTTTGTGCCCACAATGCTGAATGTTATGTGCATGTGTGTGTCAAAATACTAATTCTCAACTGTGATAGTGTTAAGAGATGGAGCCCTTGGGAGGTGATAAAGTCAAAGGGTGGAACTTTCATTGATGGGATTAGCACCCTTCTAAAAATAAATCTCATAAGCTCAATATACATCCATTTTCCTATGAATGACTCTAATTTCTCATTCTTTATGGCTGAGTAGTATTCCATTTTATAGAGCTTTTACTCTTAAGTGAAATAAGTAAGTCACATGTGTAAATACTGAACAGTCTCTGGTGTGAAAAACTATTATTATAAATAAGATCCTAATGGTATAACTGACAATGTGAAATAGGAAGAAAAGGGCTAAAGGTGTGGGGGAAATGGGAAGGGGAGGGGAAGGGAAATAAGGAAAAAGAAAAAAATATGAGAAAATGAAAAAATGGAAATAAAGTTTTGTAAATAGGGAAGGGAGGAGGGGGTAAAGGGAAGGCAGGGGTATGGGGAAAAAATGAGAACCAAGACCTGTCATGTAAAGGTACAAGATCCCAATGATGAATGTAACTGTACTGTATACCTAAAATGTACCAATAAACTCAATGAAGAAATAAATAAATAAATAAAAATATATAAATCTCATAGATCTCTTTCTTCCTCCTTCTTCTGTGTCGAGGACACAGTAAAACAACTATCTATGAACCAGGAATCAAGACTCCCACAGACACCGAATCTGCCAGTACTGTGATCTTAGATTTCCCAGCCTTCAGAACTACAAGAAATTAAGTGTTTGTTGTTTAAGACACCTAAGTCTAGGTCCAGGGATTTAGCTCAGTGGTGCTGCTGCCTTCCTTGCAAGCTCAAAGACCCGAGTTCTATCCCCTCCCAAAAAAAGACACCCAAGTCTATGGTACTTTATTATAGCAATCCAAACTAAGATGATTATACTTCTTTAAGTGGTTGTTTTAGAGAAAAAGATAATATGTATCACATGCTCCTTAGGAGCTGATACTACACTACTTCATATATATTTTATATCATATATAGTATATGATATTCTACTTTATAGTATATCATATATATATGATATTCTACTTTATAGTATATCATATATACATATATATATGTATGTATATGCACTACAACTATTATTATATAGTTTCCTGTCCTTTGTGCTATGGTTGTCATATATCTTATAAACACTATAGTAACAAGGCTTTTAGTTTCAAATATCTTGAATTTTTGTCTTGAAATTTTTAATGCAGCAATATATATATCCTTCAAATAATTAAGAAAAAAGAAAACTATCTAGCCTTTAATGTACACATTTACCATTTCCAGTACTTCCCATTTCTTCTACTGTTCGAACTTTTTATCTGTCATTTTCCTTTAGTCTTAAAAAATTCCTTTAGCATTTCTTGTAGTACCAATTTTGATGTCATTTCCACTTAATTTTACAGAGCTATTTTTTTGCATACAGAATTTGGAGTTGATGATTTGTTTCATCATTTTACAAATGTCATTCTTTTGTCTCTGGGTTTCACTGTCCTTATACATCATTTGTGTCACTATTCTACAATGTAACATTTTTCTCTGCCTGATAAAATTTTCTCTTTACCTTAACACTTTGACTAAGATATGCTTGTATAGATATAATTTTCTTTTATACTGCTTTGAATTTGCTGAGAGCCATAGAACTTCAAACTAATGTTTTTATTAAAAGCAAGATTTCAGAAATTCTTCAAGTGATTTTCTTTGTCCTATTTGTTCTCATTCTTCCTGAGGGATTCTACAAATTTAAAACAAATTGGTAGTCCCCTTTAAAAAAAAAAAATCTTTTCCTGTGTTCCTCTAGATAATTTCTGTTTATTTAGCTTTAATTTCATTGACGCTTTATTCATCTATCTTAATATACTCTTAAAATGATACGAAGTTGTTTTGGGGTTCAGTATGGTTTGGATTAAGATATTTCACTTTCCAGTTCTAGATCTTCTATTTGATTCTTTTTAAAGTTTGTTTCTTCACTAAGATTCGCCATCTATTCTATCATTATGATTATATTTTTCTATCTTTGAATGTTTATAATAGCTAATAAGACATATAAAAAATTAAAACATATGCATTATCTTGGGGTGACTTTTTATTAGCTAATTCTTATACTATCAATAGACATCTGTTTTGTTTTGAATTTGAGGCCACTACAAATAATGTTTCATAAGCTTACTTTCTAGGACTTTAAATTATTTTCTACAAAGTTAATGATTTTCAAACCCTTGCACAGCAAGATAATCATATATCAATCTTTTATAAATGTAAATTCCAAACTTAATCTCATTTTACAATGTATGAAGACGAACACACACGTAGAACACACACATATTTTTAAGGAGGTTAAATTAATTTAAACTACCTACATCACAATTGAGCACTATCTTTCACCTATGGACTGATTTTCTCAATCAAAAAAGACAATAAGCTTTGAAAGTAACTGTTACAATAAATAAATGGTGTAACATTTATAAATTTTCACACATTTATGAGTATTTTTTTAAAAACTAAAGCAGTCAAATACCTTTATCTCATAAACATTCAACTGCTTGCTTTCTGCTGTCCCCTTTTTTTTCAAGGCTTTATTCTGTAATAAGTCAAAAATAAAGAAATATATTTAAACTTACACTGCCACTAAAAATGAAAGTATTAATTTCTAAAATTAAGGCAAAAATATTGATGTTGAGAAGTTACAAACAGTACCTACCTCCTGCTGAAGCTCTTCGATATACTTGCTTTTATTTTCAATTTGTTTCCTTAAATTGTTACACTAAAAAATTATGAGAAGTTAGTTTTTAATCCAATATTCCAGGCAAAATAAACAATTTCAGACTATAAAGATGTTGCATAAAGCAACATAAAGCTCACTTAAAAGTCATGTGTTAATTCTATTAATGTATAAAGTTATATATTTTAGTAAAAGTTATCTCTATAAATTTGAGAGTCTTAAAATTTCTTAATCTACTTAAATAATGAATTCTCCTATTTTAAGTAAATGTACTATGTGGTTAATCCTATACAGAAAGCTGAATTTTTTTAATTATATTATTAAATAGCTTATGAAAAGCACCTGCCACAGCTAAGAATGACTTGTCTTCTTCCTAATTTTCTCTTTTTCATTTCTGAGATGCATACTATATTTGTGAAAGAAGAATAATATGACACTCTATCTCCCCCTGATTAAATTTTTATCAAAATACCAACCTATCCACTTTTTAACATCTCATTTTGTGAGATTTTCCTCTGGGTTTACATGTAGAACTTGATTAAGAGCCCAAGAAATGTCTGGACTACTATAAAAGCACAGGGGCCCTAAAATATTACAGATATATAAATTTCTCTAATTTTCATCAAAATAAAAGGAATCTCATTGGAAAAAAAATGTAAATCTCCTTCATTAGTATAACATAGTGTAAACATTTTTCTTGCAGTAGTCATATTCCACTAATATTCAGTAACTGAATAATATATGCTACTGCTATTTGCTTATAAGTGATTTACCTAAATTTTTATAATCCCCAAGCATGCAAATGGTCGCTTTCAGAAAATTCAATAGGAAACTAAGGAAGAAAAGCTTTTAAACATCTCACTGATTTTCACATAAATTTGGTAAAAACATAGTAGCAGGTAAAACTTTTTGTATATAATTTTATTTACTTTAAAAATAAAGTATCTCCATTTTGACAGAAAAGCTATTAAGATCCTAAAGTAATACCAAGGCTTTAGGCTAACACCAAAACCAGCGTTTGTTCTGTGGATATCTGCAGAATCCCAACAAGGGTAAGAGAGACAAAAATGAGGGTCAGGTAAATGTAAAAAGATCCAATAAGACAGACTTGCACTAAGTCAGAAACTTAAAGTCAGTGAAAAGATAAACAAGAAATAAATCTGTCGCAAAGAGAGTAGTTAGGGAACTTCTCTGTCTTATCTGGCACTGAAAGGAATAAAAACTCTCCATGATAAATCTGTAACCATGGGGTATCCTTATATTGCTTTATAGGCTGAATTCCTGTATAATCAAAAAAAAAAAAACTACAAATCAAGCAACTAATTAAAATGGCCTCGGTTAGTATTGCATCCAAGAAAATATTTTGGAGAAAATTATCAACTTCCTCACAAGTCTAAAAGAATTCTTATTGATAAAATTCAAAAAAAGTCATAAAAACTTCAAAAATATGGATCAACAAGTAAAAGCCAGAAGAAAACACAAAGAGCAAAATCAGACCTAAAAAGATTTTAAATACTGGCATTATCAGACATGGAATATGTAATATACAGTAAAACCCCATGAAGTCACAGTTCAGAGTTTGTGGCCTCAATCATTTCAGAACCTAATAAATGTGGGCAGAAACCCCTACAGTTTTGCAGAAACTGCAAATATCCTCTGCAATTTGGGGAGGGGAGGGCAGGAGGTTTGCAACTAGTCAATTCAAGAGTGTTATTCAGTTCTTGCTGCTGATTGGCTGCTGCCCTGTAACCTATCTCCAGCAGATGCATCAGCATTTCTATATCACAACAGGTTGCTGTTCCGTGTGTAGCTGTCTCTAGTGCTCTTGGTTTTGTTTTGTTTTGTTAAAGCCCTAAGATGCTTAACATGATGACACCAAAACACCTGTACCTTCTAAGGCTTTATCAAGACAGTATTTTAGTAAATTAAATTTCATAACTGTGGGAGTCCTAGCATACGTAGGGTTTAAACCATAAAAATAGGTATTTATAGGCATTTTTCTGGCTGTATCCAAAATTCACAGTGTTTCACAAATTGCAGGTGTTCTAGGAACATAATCCATGTGAATTTTGGGGGTTCACTGTACTTGTTATATTTAAAGAAGTTAAAGACTTGAAACTACTTGTTTGAACAAGGAGATCACAGAAGATGGTTGAGCAGCTTTGGGGGAAAAAACTAATTACAACTCCTAACAGTGCAAAATTGAATTGAAATTTAACACTCAACAGGAAATCAAGAATTTTTGGTCTCGTCAAATAAATGTTCAAATTTAAAGAATATCATCCAAGACATCCTCAAAGTACTTGTTTCTCTGCTAGAGAGAGCCTATGTTGCATGCATTTCTTATTCCTCTATTCTTCAGGCTAGCAAAACCTATTCCCCTGAGAATTAATGTACTTTTCTCCTGCCACTTTTTCCTGAAAATTACTGACATTACAAAACAGTTCAAAATATGTGCATATTTATACTAAAAATGATACAAAAACCATTAACTTTGGATGATGTGACTGCCCCATCCCACTCCAACAGTCCCATACTTTCTTCTGAATAAGCTCATGAAAATTAAAGGTTCTTAAGTTTGCATCACCTTTAAATATAAATCATCTTCAAAATTAGGGATAATCATGATTACATGACTTTTTCCTAAATAGTTCTTTCCTTTTAAATGTTTAAAGATATTTAAAATGTACTTGGTAGAATAACCAGAAATGCTTCAAAAGGTCTTAAACTATCCCAATTCATTTTTAAGAAAATCCATGTGTACAGAAACAAAGACTTTTATATGTACAAGAATTCCCAAGTAGAAGAAAATTGTGTTATTAGAGATGAGAATTACCCGAAAGTGAACTACACTTTCCAGAGGACTATTTATTATTTGTCAAGTTTACATAAGTGGGTAGAGTGGATCACAAAAGGGAAAAGTGAATTAGAATGTGCATCCAGGCAAGTCCAAACATTTCACATAAAGAGTGTAGAAGCTTTTCTGTAGCTCTCTTGATTTTAGGAAAGAAAGAGATGTCTAATGATGGCTTTTTTACATCATTTTGCTATTCTCATATATCCATAATATAAATGTAGTTATAATAACATGTAATATTTCCAGAATACAAATGTAGCTGCTTATAGTATGAACTTTTAGAGAATGGGATGGAAAGCTAAAGGAGTTTAATAAAACCCTGCTCTTTGAAATCCTATGCAAAACCCAATGATTCAGTTTCCTTCAAGGAAATCTGCAATAAAAATCCTATATTCCCAAAATCTCCAAAGAAGAACTGAGATTTCTTTACACAGAATAACAAAAAGGCTGATCCTTCAGAATCCAGTCAGTTACAAATTTTATACTCTCAAATATTTTTATAATTAGAAAAATACCTTGTTTTCTAGTATCTTCATTTGCTTATCTTTTTTTAAAACTTCACATTCAATACTTCGAGCCTAAAAAATATGACTTGACATCAGGTTTAAAATGTTAACAGAATTGATACTTTGTTATGTATCTTTTAGAAATGAAATTATAAAACTTAGATTTACATTGCTACAAAGCATAGTTATAGGGTCTCCCAATTTATATTACTGTCCCTTTTCAGAAAACAAATCATTGAGGGGGTGAAGGGAGGGCAGGAGTAAAGGGGAAAAATGAGAACCAAGAACTGTTATGTAAAGGTACAAGATTCCAATGATGAATATAACTGTACTGTTTACCTAAAATGTACCAATAAATTCAATGATAAAAAAAAAGCAAATCATTTTTGTATGTTAAGTGATGGGTATGTTGACTAGCTTGATTTAATTTTATCACTATATATATATATATGTATATATCAAAATATTACTTTGTACACTATAAATATATATAGTTCTTATATGTCAATTAAAAAATCGTCTTCAGGGCCATGGATTTAGCTCAGTGGTTCTGCCACCTGCCTTGCAAGTGCAAGGACCCAAGTTCGATCCCTGGTACCAAAAAATAAAAAAAATCATCTTCATGTTACGATGTCAAAGTTCCCCATTGCTACCTTAGCTTAAGATAATGCAATGTTCTTATCAGATTTCCTACTTTTATTTTGATTTTTTAATCATCTTGAATATAAATGTTTCTAATGTCTCAAATATATCTTTCACAAACATTTGTTAACCTGAACCTTTCAATAATCTCACAAAAGAAAGGATAAGCCAGACATGGTGACACACACCTGTAATCCCTGCACTTAGGAGGTTGAGGCAGGAGGATCACTGTGAGTTCAAGACTAGCCTGAGCTACACAGTGAGTTCCAGGTCAGTCTCAACTACATAGTGAGACCCTGTCTCAAAAAATCAAAAACAAAAAACAACAGCAAAAAAAGAAAGGATAGGCATTATTATCTCCATTTTAGATATTAGGAACTAAAGTCTAGATAGGTAAAGTATGAATGGAAATAATATCTGAACTAAGGTAGTAGGATTGGAAAAATACTTCAGTGAAATTAAATGTCAGATAAACTAAAACAAACAAACAAACAAACATTTCCAACTTGATTTTTTCTGGAAAATGTTGAATAAGTATTCTGAAATCTTAATAATCTGCTGTGTATTTTGTTTTGTCCTTAACTCATCACTAATACCTACTACACTGTCAAAATATATTATACTTTAAATTCTTGATGGAGAATTTTGATTTTACATTAAATATCAAATTTTTTTCCTACAAGTACACTGAAGCAACCTCTGATATAAAATTTTAAGTAGTGAATTATTCACCAAGTATTTAATACATTAAATTCATTTTTTCACTATAAATTTAATAATATAAAGTTAAAATTAAAAATAAATTTTGAGGTAGGATATGTGATACAGTCTAAAGACAAGAAGAACAGCTCTATTACATTTTAGTCATGTAATTTTTGGTAGTTTTTTAACCTTTGGAGGCCTGATTTTCCAATTCAGGACAATAATGAATTCCAGTTGAGTAAAATAATACATGGAAGTAATTTATAATATATACAGTCCATTGTAAGCCCTTAAAAATCTTTGCACTATTCCAGTAGTCTTAGATTTTTCCAAAGTATAAGTATAATTAACCATCAAGTCAAAACTCTTCAATAACCTTAAACTCTAAAAACTACTTTTGTGGCCTTAAATGATCTGACCTCATCTTTGTCCTTCATCTCTCCACTCATCTCTATAATCTTTTCCCATTCTCTCCACTATCACTACCACCTTAACTCTTTCCACCACAATAAAATTTTTATAGTTGCTTAGGTAATTCCACATCTTCCCCTATAAATGTGTATGTGTGTTGTTTTGTTTTGGTACCAGGGATCAAACTCGGGACCTTGCACTTGTGAGGCAGGCAGCAGAACCACTGAGCTAAATCCCCAGCCCTGTGTGTTACTGTTTTGACTTAGAATATTGCTCTTTTGTTATACTTGAGTTCACTCCTTCCAATAGTTCCTATTAATCTAAGTGAACTAAATCTAAATGCTGCTTCTTCTAGGAAGCTTGTTCTGATCTAAGTTTGGATTAGATGTCTGTCCTTTCTTCTTTTGGGGGGGGGCTTTGTTTTGTTTTGTTTTTGTTTGTACATTGTTTTTGCTCTTTTGAGACAGGGTCAGACAATGTAGTCCAGGCTGGCCTTGAACTCACTACGTAACCCAGGCTAGCCCCAAACTTGCAGTGATCTTCCTGCCATCAATGCCCAACTTAAATGTCCTTTCGGTGGACTCCAATAGCATCCACAAAGGGGACATATGTTTTGGTCCAGCCAGCAACACCCTTTCCAACAGTAAAGCAAGATTCCTTTACTATAAACTCCACAGTAATTCCATCCAGATACTGTCTCCAGGAATGAGTATGCAACTCAAGCCTGGCTTGATTACTCTATCTCCTAGCCACAGTGCCTGACTCAGGAAACAAGTTACCTCTTGGTGAGAATCTTCAACTTTTCTCAGAGCTTTCAAGAGTTGTTTTTTGTTTTTAATTTCACTGCTGGGGATTGAAGCACCATACCACTAAGCTATATCCCCACCACTCAAACTATTTAAACAGCCCTCAAGACTATTTTTAATAACCTTCTAACTTCTAGTGCCTTTCATGTCTCCTCGTACTATTCTTAAATGCAAAATAGTCTCATCTCAATAAAAACTTTACTAAATCACTACTGTCTACTAAAGCAAATGAAACCTAAACTCAGCAACCAGAACAATACCTAGCATATACTTGAGGGTAGATAATATATTTACTGAATTAGTGAAAGAAAATATAGCCTTCATAATCTTCCTTGTTCTATCTTGCCACCATTTTTCCCACTTTGAATATTACATTGCAGAATCATATCATTCAATTTTTATTACTCCAGTTCTGTGACATTCTTCCCTAAAAAACTTCTACCCAACTTGTTGAAATTAAATTCACCAAAGTGCAATACAAGGGTTTTCTATATTCCATATTACCATACAACAACCCTTTAAGCCCAGAAATACAAATATTGAGCATTTATAAAATAAATTTAGAATTATGTCATTATTTCTTTCAGATATAGATAAGCAAAATAATCTGCTCTGTCTATATTTTTAAGGTTGATGGCCTATAACAATCCTTAGACTATTATTTATACAATATTATACTTTTATACAATAGTATACTTTCCTTTATTTTTTTAGACATATGAGGTCACTTATATGAACTGAAACTTTATACAAAAACTATTCAATAAAACATACATTTTCTTCACTCTTGTCCAATTTACATTTTACTTCATCCCCCTTCTGTTTCAGTTCTTTTTTCACAGACTCCAATTCATTCCTAAAACAAAAGGGAAGAGTGATATTACACTCCAAGTTACATTTCAGTTTTTTACCTAAGATTTTTAATGGTTGACTATTATTTTTTGTTGGTCTTACTTTTTCATTTGTTTGGTAATTTTTCATGCATTACTATCACAAGATATACTTCATTTCCATTTAAATTAATTTATATATTTATTTTAAAATTAATCATCTGAGATGCCAAGAATGTAGATCAGTGGCACACCTCCTGTCTGGCAAGCACAAGATGCTGAGTTAAATCTCCCTATATAAAAAAAAAATTAATTATTTGGAACCTTATAGTCATTTTTTTTTTCAGTACCAGGGAACAAACTCAGGACCTTGTGCTTGCCAGGCAGGTGCAAGGCCACTAAGCTATACCACAGGACCTATTTTTTATTTTTAAAAAGCCCTGAAAAGCAGAACTAACTTAAGTCATGGTTTCACTGCAATGTTTTCTTAGTCATAAATCATTCAAATATATTCATAATTTTGTATACAAATGAGAACTATAAATGCAAGTAATTTTAATCTAGAACTACATGACTGAGATAAAATTTACACACACATATTGTGTTAAACATAGAGTATCTCTGGAAATATACACAAAAAACAGTGATGCTTCTGGGAAGAGATACTGGATAGTAAAAGAACAATGGGTTAAAAAAAGATACCTTTCTTTCCCCATGTGTTCCTTTGTCTCTTTGAATTTCATACCATATCCATGTAATACTCTTTCAAAAATATTTTAACGAAAAACCTATCTGTTCTTTCTCATCTATTACCAATGGATTAAAAGAAAACTTAAAACACAAAAACAGATTACTCAGAAAATAATGAACATGGAAGCTACATATCAAATACCATGTTATAAATTCATAGTTGTGTTCTGAAGTGAATACTTGAAATATCTTTATTATTTAAAAGTGAAAGATAAACTAATATTAATAACTTTTAAAGAACTAAAGAAAAGATTAATATATAATTGCAGGCATACAAGAAATAGCTAAAAGTATAAAAGCAATGGTTAAAGATTTTTTTAAAAAGGCAACCAAATTTAAAACAACAATAAAAAAAAACGTTCCATATAATAAAGAACTCCCCAAAATTAAGGAAAAACAATAGGTTAGAGAAAAATATACTATAAATAAAACAGATAAAGGACCAAAATTTTCAAAGCTTAAACAAGTCAGTAAAACAATAAAGATCTCAAAAATGTAATGAACAACAGAAATAAGCTGACAATCTTTAAAAGAAGAAATTCTAGGGCTAGGGATTTAGCTAAGTGGTGCCACACGTTCCTCAAAAGCACAAGGTCCTGAGTTGAATTCCTGGTACAAAAAAAAAAAAAAAATCAAAAAAGAAATTCTAATAAGCAAAATCGAAAAATTTCAAAGCTTATCCAAAAACTATAAATTCTAAATCATAAGAATGAGTTTATTACACTGTTGATAAATCACTAATAATAGTCAATAACAAAAATATGAAACCTACACTTCCATGCAATATTAACTGGATTGCATCATTTACAATTGATAAAATCAACTGGAAAATATTTAATTTCTACTGGAAATCAACAATTCTATGACCTAGTAAATTCTACTGTTCCCTGAGTTCAATCCCTGGCACCGCCAAAAAAAAAAAAAAAAAAAAAAAAATATACATTATTTTGTTTTATTTTTAATCAGGATTTCAAAACAGTAATTTAAGCTTAATTTTTTACTTTAGTAATGTTCAACATAAGTTTAATTTAAATCATAACAAGTTAAAATATTAAAATCTTCTGCCAGACCAACTCATTAGTCTTACTTTAATTTTATTTCTGTTTCTTCCAGACTTTCTATTTGTTTCAACATCCTTTCTTCTTGCTTTTTGCTATCCTAAAGAGAGAACAACATTTTATTTTGCTTAAATGAAAGTAAAATTGAAGTTAACATTTAAAACTTTTATCTGCCACCACAAAACTTATTTATATGTAAAGAATCAGAAATGACTATTTAATTTGCATAGTTCCACACTAGTTTTCCAGCCTTACATTATTTATTCTTTTAATAATCTCTGTATAACAACTAACACAACATGTTTTATTTCTGAGTGATACTTTGAACCTTGTATCCTATATTCATATTGTTCTGGCTTCAAGGAATATTTTCCATTCATTGTTACCTACTGATTTCATAATTCATCTGTTTTTGTTTTCTGGCCTCAATCTGTTGTACACCTTGCTCCATCACCTGGTTCCCAGAACTCAGATTGTGCAGTCTTCTAGTCATCATCAGCCAGGGCTCACCATTACAGCAGCAGGGCCCTCCCTCAAACTCCTCCTGGCCTACCCTCACCTGCTCATCCCTCAACCCTAATTCTCCCACACCAGGTCCTCTGGCCCCACATCACCTGACATGTTTCATAATTCTCTAGGCTCCAGGCAAGCAACACCACCCACAATGGGGCCTGATCATATAAGGAAAATACTGCAGGCTCACTGGGGGCTAAAATGGGGACAATGGAGAGACCGGTGCCCTACTATACTTGCTCTTCCCCACTTTCCCTCCCCAGCTACCCAGAAACCCACAGAGTCTCCAGCTAAGCTACCTTGACTTCATAATACATCTTTTAAGGCTGAAATCAGTGCTGTATTCTCTCTGATGCCTTCTCTTCCATTAATGCAAAAGTGATCCTGTGAACTGTGATAACACCTTGCCTCAGGGACAACACATATGATAAACTATTTTAAGTTATTTGAATATTTGCTGTTTATCTGTTAAGTCAAAAACTCTTGAGGAGAAATGATATTTTATTCTTCTTTGTATCTTCCAGAATCTTCTACAATTTAATATACTTATTGGTTAAATACTTTATATAAATTTTAATGTTTAAAGTTAAATTTATCCAAGTAGCCTCAATATTCTATTACCCATTAGCATCAGCTAAACTTAATTTTCTTCTAAAACCAAGTATCAAACACATTTTTCTTCTAAAACCAAGTATCAGCTCTAAAATATTCAGATTTTTTTACAGCTGATAAAATCTTTTGACATTATCAATTCATTTTAAACCCCCTAATTTCACAGGTAAGAAAACTGTTACTGTTACTTTTTCAACTTACATTAATATCCTCTTGCTGTTTCTTGAGTTCCAAGGCCATATTACTTGTTTCTTGTACCAGGTCTTTGTTCTCCAGTGACAGCTTGTTGCAACTTACAGTTAATTCAGAATTCCTAAGCCTATTTTTTAAAAAGTCATACCAAAGTGCTTATATATGAAATCATATGATAGTATCATATTAATTTAACCCAAAATAATCTTAGAAAGGGTAGGGCTATAAATAAAACAAGATTAGTCATTAGCTAATAATTTGTGAAGCAGTATGCTAGATTCATCCTGGCTTATTACATTATTCCTCTATTTTGTACATGTTCAAAAATTTTCAATATCGTCAAAATGTTATAAAATCTATTTCCTTGTATATTCCTCACACTCTCATTCCCCAACACTTTTGCATAAATTCTAAAGGGTATACTCGTCATCACATAATTTTTTTGTCTCCAATAGTGTATCTCAAAAATTGTTTCAGACTTCCAATCAAATTTGATTAGAGTAGGGTATAAGGTACAACTATTTTTAATTAAAATATTTTCATGAAAATAAATAAAACTAGCTCTAATTGTGCACAACACTAAAGTACTCCTACAAATGTTCTACACTGCAAGTGAGATTATTGTTAAGAGTTGTAGACAGGTTCGATTTTAATGAAGACATTACTGAATGATTCCAGGAATACCTGTCATATCTTCATACTTAATAATACTGTTAATTCATCAAAGAAGAAATAAAGTTCTTCACTAAAAAATGACAGATTGAAAAAGCAAATATACCAATGAAAGCAAATTTAAACTAAAATGTGAATGACAAACCATTCCATTCATTAAGAAATTTTTATTAATAGAGATGTATTTTACCCAGATATAAAAAAAGCATTGTTGACATGGTATTAGAAGAAGGGAATGGCAGCTAAAAGAAAACAGAAAAGCTGCAAACTGTTCACTTCTCATTTTTATCTAGAGCTGAGAGGCAACCAAAAGAGAAAAAATTGTGCTCACTACCATGGTGGCTACCTGAATTTACTTCTAAGTAATAATGTGATAATTATTTCCCATACTTTATTTCCAAACTAAGCTTACTGAGTAACTGAAATCATTCAATTAAATAATTATTTAGACAATCTAAGAAGTAAATTTGTATTCTATCACTTTATTAATATAAACATTCGAAATAATTTATCCAAAAAAAAATACTTTAAAATGCAAATAAACATTTTTATGGGAAACTAAATACCTCCATAAAAGTAATACAGTTAGCCCTCTGTATCCATGAGGTCAACCAACAACAGATTAGAAATATTCAGGAAAAAAATTGCATCTGTACTGAACACACAGATTTTTTGTCATTATTTCCTGAACAATAAATAACTAGTAGTACTTTCATTGTATTAGCTATTAGATCCAAGAGATTAAAGCATATCAGAGTATATGCATAGGTTATATGCAGATACTATCCCATTTAATATAAGAAGCTTGACAGCATAGGTTTTGGTATCCTTAGGGGCCCTAGATCCCATCCCCCATGGATATCAAGGGATGATGTATACTTATCTTCAAAGTAGTTTAAACTTTGTTGTATGTCAATAATATATATTTCCTTTAGCAATGAAACTGGTAAATTATTCTGATCTCCAATTAAGAATAAAATGCAATTTCAAATTCATTCATATAAATATTCAATGTAAATTAGTAATATTATTTATTACCAGAAAGCTTAGTATTTGGATACATAAACTATATAAGGTTACATGGAAAACATACTTCTCTTTTTCAAGCTCAGTTTTCATATCTTTAACCTGTTTTGAATAATGCTGTTCACTTGTCGCAATGGCAGTTAATTGTATTTCCAAATCATGTACTTTTTTCTGAAAAAAATATAAATATGTAAGATATTTTTCCAATTTTTTTCATTTAAAAAATATGATCACTGAGTAATTAAGTAATGTACTTGGCAAAAATTTGGCCTTAGTCTATTTATTTTAAATGTAAGTAGATTTAACATGATAATCATTTTAATTTAAAAACAATGAACAGGGCTGGGATTTAGCTCAGTGACAGTGTGCCTGTCTCACAAGCGCAAGGTTCTGAGTTCAATCCTGATACCAGAGGCAAAAAAAAAAAAAGAACAATGACAAATGCAATATTGTATAAGTAAATTCTACTTGATATTCTGAAACTCAACCAAAAGAACTGTATTATATATTATAAAATACTTTTTACCAGTTTCACTCTATGAGGTAATTAATTTCAATTTAAAAGTCATATCATTAAGAAATATGTTACTTTTTTCAATCATACCTGGTTTCATTAAGTATTCTTACTATATAAAAAAAAGTTGTAATTCTGTTATGGACTAGAAAGATACATTAAAATGGAATTAAAATAGACAACTTTCAAAACTATATTATAGGCACTTTGAAAAGTATCATAAACCAAGAACCTAACTTAATAAAGGCCAACTTCAAATGTACAACTTGGAAATATTCAAGACATCAAGAATGTAATTGTTACAAACCAAAGAATTATGCATAAGATCAATATCTTAAATGTTTATCTTTCTCTCCCACACTATAGTATGAAGGTTCTAGATAAACGTATTTCAACCTGATCATTAGCATTTTAATATAATAAGAACATATATTTTTAAAAAGAAGTTTGTGAAGGAATCTTTCACAAAGCAAATAGCTATACCATATTTACCTTGTAAATCTATATTCTATTAACATATATTTGAGGCAGGCAGCAGCACCACTGAGCTTTAATAAATCCCCAGCCCTATTAACATATATTTGAAACAAAAAAATCCTTAAACAAACCTCTCTGGTTTGTAAAAGACCAGTTAGTTCTTGTTCTTTTCCTTTTAATTCTTCAGTAGTCTTCTCAAGTTCTTTCTTCTCATCTAAAAGCTTTTGGTTTTCTGCCTATTTAAAAATATTAACAAATCATGAAAGCCAAGCTACAGACATATTCAAAATAGTTAAACTGCCTAAACAGAGCTGTGGAAAGAATTAAGAGCTTCTCTTTTGGCTACAATTCTTTAAAAAGAGAAATTAAGTAATTATTAAGTAAACTCAAAGCCAATAGATGATCACAAAGGATTTAATGGAGGTATCTGTGAAATAAGGGGCATAGAATTTCTAACTTCACAATCATACATAATTTTAAAATCCACTAAGTTTTCTTCTAAATATTCTAAAATCTCTATTATTCTTCCTGTGAAATTATTTTGAATTACCCCATCCCCTCAGCATGGGGGAATTATTTCTGGTTCTCATATAGTATAGTAGGGTAATTATAAGCAAAAATAATTTATAATATATTTCAAGATGATTAAAGAAGTATAAAATCCCCAACACATAAAAATGATTTATTTTGAAGAGACAGAAATACTTGTCATGCAAATTTGATTATTACACATTGTACATACATACTGAATTCCTATGATGCACCCATAAAGATGTACAGACACTTTTTAAATCAAAAAAAAGGAATTTACCATGATAACTTATCAATAGACAGAGACCTTCTGTTCCCCACATCCTCTCTCCTCTCACTCTTCCCTCCCTTAAAAACCCTGCAAAGTCTTTGTAGAGAGGGAAGGTGGAAGGGTTGAAGGGAAGGCAGGGGAATGGGGAAAAAATAAGAACCAAGATAGACTATGTAAAGGTGCAAATTTCCAATGATGAATGTCATTATATTGTATTCCTTAAATGTACCAATAAAATTAATTTTTTTAAAAAATGCTCAGTAACTCCTTAGTCCCACACGCTTCTCACCACTTAAACTAGCCAATCAGGATAGACTGTGAACCTTCAACCCAGCCAAAGGGGAAAAAGATCAGCTGTTTCCCAAGTGTTAAGGGCTTTAAAAAAATCCCTCTTCCCTGCCATTCAGCATGGCTACTGTCTCCTCTCTGAGTGCACTCACACCCTTCTGCAGTAGTAAATTTTAAATTTTGCCTTGTCAAGTCAGTCCTCTTGCTTGTTTTCTGAGTGCATTCTTCTGACACTAACAATCTCAGTCAGGGGGCTTATTTCCAAAAGATGTTAGTAGCTCCATTTTATAGATCAAATAATCTTCCAGCTTTCATTATGTCTCAGACCAAATCTCCCACTGATAACCCCAATAAATACCAGAAAAAACATGCATATATAGAACTTTAAAATTCTAGTTTTTTTTTTTAATAGCTAGCTAATTAAAAATTACTAGCACAAATGGAAGAGAAGCAATTTTCTTAGTTTTTGGTCACTTCCTAACAAGAGTGGAATGGCATTGCTTAACAAGTAAAACCATAATAGAAACCCTATCATCTTTCTTACTGATGGAACCAGAGAAAGGAACTGTGGGAACCATTATTGGGCTCTTATTTTTTCACCCCCTCCACCCTTCCCTATTTACAAAGACTTTGTTTACATTTTGAGACAGGGTCTTACTAAGTTGCTAAATTGCTAAGGCTGGACTCAATCTTGACATCCTTCTCCCTCAGCCTCTCAGAACAATGGAATTACAGGCATGTGCCGCCATCTCTGGATTAGGTTTGTTTTATAATTCAAGGTATGGTATATCTTAATGAGTGTTCCATGTGCACTTGAAGAGAGTGGGTATTCCTCTACTGTTAGGTGGGTATTCTATGAATGTCAGTGAGATCCAGTTGGTTGATGATGCCTATGCAAACCTGTATTCTTTATTGATTTTTTGGTGTAATTCTATTACTTATTGATACAACAGTATTAAAATTTCCTATTATAAATTTGGAATTGTCTGTTTATCTCTTTAATTCTGTCAAAGTTTACTGCATATAGTGTGAATTTCTGTTATATGATATTTAGTGTAACTGTTATATCTTTGCTGACAAATGGATGTACTGATCATTTCTAATGACCTTTTATCGCCCATATTGCTTGTTTATGTTGAAGTCTGTTTTAACTGGTACAAACTGGATGAGAAAAAAACAAAAAACAAAAAAAACAAGAAGATGCACAGCTACTCTGGGGGAATAGGAGATATTAAAAAAGAATACCCATGGTTTTTTGTCCTCAGCTCCTTTTTATTTAGGACTGGTGATTTCATCCATCCCTCTAGTGGGCACCTGGAAGTTGTGGCATCTGACTGGCTCTCTGGCCATCTTTGATCCTAACCTGAGCACCTCTATCTACATTCTTTCTGATTCATTTGATTCCTTCCTGCCCTTTTGTGATGGATAAATATGTGTGTGTGAGCCTCATAGGAGGGTAGCATAGAGTTAGAAATTAAGTAAAGGGGACATGTATGTATCCGCTGCAGTTACAGTGATTTTAAACTGAGACTATACTTATATATGTATAGATGTGTGTGTGTCTTTTATACAATAAATAAAGAGTCCTTAGGTGGTTATCCCTTATCTCCTTCACATTTTATCAGAGGTGGGTGGGGGTGTTTTCCCTAGTCTTTTATGTTTCTGGTTTCCTCCTTGGTTTAACTATTTGTGATATATTGTGTTACCTGTTACCTCTCTCAGTCTAGTTTCTCTCCTTTGTCTTTCTAATTGCTCTAATTGTAGAGTCTACCTGTAGAGGCAGAAGTAGCTTTTAGTATGATTCCTCATAAATTTTTAATAAAGCCTATTTAATAAAGCCTAAAAGCTGCCTTTCCCTATAGTTTTACATTTGTTTAGAGTTCATACATAGAATCAGGAGATTGCTTTCTCTGGTTCTCTGTTCTGTGTGATTTATTCCTTTGTATTCTGGAGCCCAGTAATGGTTCCCACAGTTCCTTTCCCTGGTTCCGTCAGCAAGGAAGATGGCGGGATTTCTATTATGGTTTTACCTGACTAAGCCATCGACTGCTAAAGTTCTTTATTTTTTACAGCTCCTATTATTCTTAGAATACATATAAAATTCTCTTGATCCCTACAGGTCATGAATTGCCAGGCTAAAATATACAGTGGTACCCAGTTCATGACCTTCTCTCCATATTCTGTTTGCAAACCAAACTGGACAAGACCTCAATCAAATTTCCCCATCAGGTCAACACTGATCCTAACACAACTGAATTTGATTTGGTTCTCATCAACTTGGTTTGTGAACAGAATCATGAAGAGTCAAGTTCATGAATCAAAATACCACTGTTTCTACTTTTGCCTCATCTTGCACCAGACTTTTCATTCCGTCTTGTACTCATCGTATTCCCCTCCACAAAATAACCTTTGCACATTTTTTATACTTAACATGCTATATCCTCCTTCCTCTGCACTTCAATATTTGTTTAAAAAAGCTTCTCCTAAACTAACTAGTTCAAATCCCTTTATTATAGGTCTCATAGACTATAAACCAACTCCTTATTCCCATTAACATCATCACGATATTACATTTGAACAACTATTTAAGAGTGAAAATATGATTACTACAGTTCCATAAAAGTAGGATTCATTTATTGTCCACTATTTTCCCAGAGTATAACATTTTTGGAATTCAAAGTTTTTCAAATGAATAAATGTATCACCTTATTTATTCCTTAAGGCTACCCTATTAAATATATATATATCATTACCCCTTTTCTTACAGGGGAAAATTGAGAAATGAAGAATTTGGGTAAATTTCTAGCTCATAAAGCTGTAAAGAACTAGATGGATATTAATTACAGCATTCTGATTCTGAGCACAAAGATACTGGTTATACACTATAGCTATTTATAATACAACAAAATGCTAGTCTTTGCTCATAATAGAAGTGAATCTTTATATGAAAAAATGCTTTAGAATTCATGCAACAAATATGTACAAAGTGCTTACAAAGTACTGTATCAATCAGTTTACTAAATACTATGGTTATAGGACATAGGGTCTTAGCACTTATTGACATATACATTCACTTTACTCATAAATCATATACAATATGCTGGACATTATGCTAAGTAAGATAGAGTTTAAATAGTAAATAAAGTCTTAAATAATTATACTGAAAATAAATTAACTTCATTTGTGATAAGTGTTGTATAAGAAACATTCAGGGTGCTATGGAAATAAGCCACACAGAGGCTTAAAACTAGTCTAGTCTATCATCAGGCTTCCTAAAGCAATGACATTTAAGCAGAGACTTGTTTAAGTATGCATCAGCAAATGTTAAATCAGTATAAGACACTATTATAAGTTATAAGAATTAAAGCAAGGAGAAAGGATGAGCATTTAGAAATAATGCTTCCCAAAAGACCAAAGAACTAGGAGTTGCAAAATGAAATAGGTAAACACAAAATCCAGTGTCTATAGTTATAAATAATACTGTCCTCTATATAATAGACCAGCAAACCACAACTTGCAAGACAAATTCAGCCTACAATGTCTCTTTGTAAATCTTTGTGCTACAAATATTTTTTACATTTTTACCAGGTTAAGAATAAAAGAGAGAAGCAAAGGAGGTAAAAGGAAAAAAAGAAAGAATAACAGCAGGTCAAATATAGCCCATAAGGTCTAAAATATTTACCAGTCTTCTACAGAAAAATTTGCCAGGCTGGGCAAGTTCAGTGGTAGAGCCTGGCCTAGTATGTACAAGACCCTGGGTTTGCTAGGGAGTATGCACACACCCTCAAACAAATTTGCCAACCCATGTGTTCTACACTATAATCAATTAAAATATAATAAAACTTTATCCTACAAATTCAATAGACACTTGAGCAGTACACTTCAGTACTGAATATATATCATGCATATCTTTTTCAAAATGAGTCTCTGTGGTACAACACCCAAAAGTACTAAATTTATAATCAGCTAAGAATACATACATATATATATATATGTATGTATATATATATATATATATA